CGCCAAGCAGGTAGAACAAACATTGGCGTTTTTACCATTCATATAATCATGATTTATTTTTCGAGCGCTTATGATATGATTTCAATACAGATATTAATGTTTTAAAATTTACTTGTTTATTTCAACTTGTAGGCCAAGGTCGGAGTGATGCTGAACTTTCTATGTCTCATTATTACAAATATATCTATGAACACATTTGGTTGGAAGTTCTTCGGCGTTGATACTGTACCTGATTGGGCTGTAATAGACCACGTCAATGCGACAACAACTGTGGCAGCGGTCACGGTATAATTTGGCTCACTGTAATCGATTCATTCTGTAATTAAAGGAAAGACGTTTGCTCTACCACAAGATGCTAATGTTGCGATTTGTGTTATAATAAATATGGTTTTAATATTAATCTCCTAGTTCAATCCTTTAAAGTTAAATTATGTAGCATTGGAAACAGTTTTTGGTAATCACAAAAACAAGTTCTATAATTGTTTTCAAATTAATTAATCATGAAAAACAGATACACAGATGGCAAACTAAAATAATGTTAAACAAATTTGAACGACGTGATTGTGATTTCTATGTTCTAGCATAATATAAAATTTATGAAAATGCCAAAATTTATTTGTGTATCACAAACAATGTCACAATAGGACGCTCAATTCTAATCTCATTAATTTCTTTGAAACGTAGATTCTAGATGATATTGTAAGTTCAACTTAACTTTAACTGCTAATTTCATTAATGGTCTCGTAAGTCCAATTCAAGTATTTTCCACTTTCAAATCCAATAGCTGATATTGAATCTTTGTTATTGGTTTCTTTGGACAAAAATAAAGGCAAGCGACGAAATGAAAAAATTCATTGTCGGTTGATTACATTTCTTACCCTTGGTTTTGGAACGATAACGTTTGTTAAACTTTAATGAAAAAAAAATATTGTTCCCTCAAACACTGCAAATGATTGTGGTAAATATTAGTAGAAACGTTCTAAATTTCAGCAGTGACCTCAGGCTACAGGCTACAGATATGTTCTTGAACGTGTTTACACTAAAGAGTACACACATGAAATACTACACGACAGCCATAACGCCATTATTTGTTGGTTGTTGGCCATCTGATTTGACAATTCAACACAATAAAAGCACAGTGTTATTTATATTGAGAATGTGACAAAAATATACACGAGATGAGTTGAATTATAGAATTATTTTATATCTCAAATTATTTACTCGTGTTAACTGTTTCTATTGAAGTGAGTTTGTTTAATTTCGGATGAGCAATTATAACATTGTCTCAAATATTTGGAAATCGATAAAGGTTATTAATGTTATTAAATGATATAATGTAGGTAATTGGCATATTGGAAATTTCGGTCCTATTTTGTAACCAAAAATTGCATAATTTGAGACAAAAGACCATCCACAGCATAATTAAGAAATCCAGTTAGCTCACCATAAAACAATATATCCATGATTAAATTAAATATGATATTATTAGTTCAATTATGCATAATCAAAGTTTGGGAAATCAATTGACAGTTGAGGGTAAATTTTTAAAATGTTGTTAAAATGGCCACAGCCGATTCAACGTGGCGTTGCTGAAATGTATGTTATCTTGTGAATTCGTCTCAGGTTTGAATGACTTGTAATATCTTGCAACTAATGTTTTTGAGGATATATAGTATACTGTCGTATTTGAACACTTATACACGTCGATATAAGTATTCAAAACAAGGTCACACGTCCTTGGTATAGTAAGTATTACTTTGAGTCAGTACTTTCATACAGACATGTTGATTTATTTATCGTTTCAGTGTACTTCAAACACACCTGATCTTGCTGAGGGACCATCTCAAATTGTAACTAACAATACGAAAGCATGTTCGTTGTTTCTGTTTAGTGGGATTTATTTATGAAATCTTAACAATACGATACTTCAGGGACTATGTGGGAACGCCCAAATATACTTCTATCATCATCCGCTATTTAGACAATGTCTCAATTTACTTTTGAGGACGTTGTACATTCAATCAGTTAACAGATATCTGTGAAATGACTGATTCTCAATGTCTTTCGTTTTCTCTATCTGTATATCATGTAGACTCTAGTAACAAATGTTTTGTGAATCTTGTGAATCTGAATTGTTGTTCCATAAATTGGACAGCCTGTATGATGTCGAAATATCGAGCCCCTTAACTGTCGCATTGAGGTATTATTTTATTCATTGGTAACCGATAGCTAGGATAATAAGAGTAATATAATATTGTTTTCTTTAAATTTACTTTGGCCTTCTTTTGAAATGTATACAAACTGAAGGAAAATGAGGATCGGAGTACTGTCTGAATTCACTAGATTAACGACTGTTTAGATGTGCCAAATCTTACCTGAAGACGTAGGATTAGTTGTTATTCCATCTTTAAGGCGTGTATTCCACTTGAAGTATCGCTCAAAAAGCGCTTAATATTCTGAAGCAGAATAACTGATTTATATGGCGATAGTTTCTGGCAGTTGGAAATTTAGGCATATGAATTTCACATGCCAAGTGATTTATAATTTTGACGACCTTGAAATACTAAATAATATGGTCTCCAATTCGTGTGTTCATTTATTGATGGTACAACTGTTTGCCTCACAATTATTTAAACATGCCGACCTAACTTAATAACCATTTTATTTGATTTCAAAAAAATATATATTTAAAATATCCGTCTCCAGTGATATTACATATCAATACTTTGAATTTTTCATTTTCGCATTGTTCGTTGTACAAAAACAGTATAGTGCAAACGGACAAATGTTGACCATAGACTTGCGGTCTAACAAGAACTAACACGTGAATTCAAGTTTTTTTTTTAATGGATTAACTCGTTTTAGTTTATATGGTGTTATTAGATTAAAATTATTAAGAATTCCAGCAGTCAAGTGACTATTGGAAATGAATTTGCGAGTTAGTCCCGTGTGTTTGTTAATATATATTTGTATAAATTAGATTAGAGTTGGAAGTTAAAATCACCAAAAATGTTTAACCTCATGAGTTTTAATTAATGATAATAATAAGTCAGATTAAAATCACATCCAATCAAAAAGCACTTCATTTTGAGTGAGCGGTGGACTTGCCAAGTCACGTAAAGGCGCAATATGGGCGAAGACAATGAGCTCTTCGACCAACTACTGTTCAATATTCAAATTTGAATGAAAGATGATGATCGTTATTTAAAATTAACATAAACTGTTTATAAACAAGGGTAGTGCTTTCTACTTTTCACTGGGACGCGACTTATTGACTTAAATTAATCAGCGTCAGCAGTGTATAGTATAGTGCTCGACTACACTGTGATAGTCCATTGTATATGTGTTAAAAAACATCAAAGCTGTTCAGTTTATGTTAAATTGATGAAACTTTGTGTCAAGGTATTATGACTTCTGCTGATCATTTTAAGATTTGGAGCCACTTCTAAAAATCGATTTTGACGACCACAATGACGTCATCAATAACGAAATAAAGTTCGTCTTTTAAACAGCAGGACAGCTACCTGTACACTGTTGGTGTTTACTGTGGTACTGTCTGACATTTGCGAGGCTTATTGCAACGAAATATACAGGGACAAGGTCAATAATTTTCTGCGCATGCACCAATTCTTACTGCTTACGTGAGTCGCAAAATGCTGTAAAACATATTTTTTTTCCATTTTAGATTATTGGATTTGATTTGATTATCTGAATGGTGTTCAAATTTGACTTCGTACTACTGGTTGCCATAGCAACAAAATTGTGAGTATTTTTGGACGATTTCTTGTCTTGAGATGCCTTTTATCAGTCATAGATATAGACAGAAGTATTTGTACACACATTCCCTATACAACACACAGCACATACAACGCGTTATTTATTAAAGTAAAAGTAAAGATTATTATAACAAAGTGTATCTGACAGATTATCCGCTTTCTAAATTACGACACCTTTCTTGGATTTCCCCACAGGCAAGGTATTCGTTTTGAAACAGTAAATAAGTCTAATGACACCGTTAC